TTATGCAAAGTGGGTTTTAGCTTGATGAACATCGTGCGCAACTGTGGCGCGATGCGCGCGATCTCGCTCTGTGTCTTATCGATGCGTGCCAACCTGTTACACGTGCACTTCTCACAAAGTAAGCTCTTTGTTCAAGTTTTCAACAATTTTATGTCAGATATATTTTTGTTGATGGTGATTTAATTTTGTTTGTAAATAACCATATAGGTGCTTCCAAATTGAGTCGAAAGACGCTGAGGACATTCTGTCAACCTTTGCAGTACATGGTAATAGGACTTGGAAGTTAAGGATTTTGCCAGATCCTGTTTTTCTTGAAAGGTTGTTAAATTTTTGATTTTCGCTATGTTCGCAGTGAGATTTGGGATGCTGATGAATCCTGTGGCGATTTTAGCCCAGAAAATGCAGCGCTTGTGTTGGAGCAACGGCGTTTTTGGTTGGAAAGATGGGCAGAACTTCGCAAGCGCATCGACATCACATTATCTACTGTGCCGACTAGAGCACGTAGAAATAGTTCTAGAGGCAGCCCGACGAAGAGCCCAACCCAAACGCGGAAAAATAATCGTTGAATCCCGATAAAGCAGCCAACTTCATAGAGCTGTTAACATTTCGTTTGATAGACTATCTTCTTATTTTTACGTCAGAGGCTATAATGGTAAAATGATTCGCTAATGTTAAAATTTCGGGGTAATTACAGCCAAAATCAAGTCAATTAATTCTTTGCTAATCTTGATAAGCTCTGCTAGGATTAAATGTCATTATAAGCTCGAAAATGTTGTCGCATAAATGCAGAAAAAGTGATGTACTGGAAACGCTCAGCTGTCATGTTGTGCCTTTTTACGATGGTAAGCTCTCATTTTGAAGAACTCATTTTGCACTTTGATATTTTGAAAATCGTCTATGCTCATCGTTGTGATATATCTGAAAGTATATGAGAATGTTCAAATATAGTTGACGTTTTGTTTTTTGTTGTTGATTTGATATACGGTTGTTGTCTGTTATAGAGCAAAGACGTCTGTGTGACCTTTGCATTATGATGAAGTAAACTTTTCTACGTTTTGCTCAGTTTTTATTGGTTGAAGATTCAGATTCAAGTCCACTGAAAGAAAAAAGCTCCATTTGGCATATAACTCAGACAATCTAGAAGAGCTTCCTCAAAGCTCCATCGGAACTTTTCTGAAGTCACCTGCGAAACATTAGCATCATTTCCTCGGAAATACCATTCAAGCATTGCGGAACTTCCAATCAAGTCCTTTCCCGGACTATCGATGAAACCCTACGGAAGCTTGGCTTGCAGTAAATAGGGAATGCGCGGACCTTCAGTTGTTAGTTTGTTTACACCATACTCTACTATGTGCAACAACAGAAACAAAACTAGATATTTATCTTCACGGAAATGTACATTGTGTGTAACTGGTGGATCAATTTTTGGCAAGAATAATATGCAAAATCCTCAAAACAACGTAATTCGTAAATCTCAGTAGAGTGATTTCGTCATAGTCGTTGGGGCACAAATAAGTGAGTCACCAGAGTATAACAGA